TAATAATAATAATAATAATAATAATAATAATAATAATCATAATAATAATAATAATAATATTTTTTAACTGGGGTCTGTGAGTAGATCTTGTGAGATTAAAAGCGTACATTCTTTTTGTCCATGGCCACTCGAGCAGGCGAGATGAGCGGTAGTCCATTTGACCAACCGGGCCAATACATTCATAGTTAGTGCAATTTAACTAATTTTAATAATATAATTCTTTTTGTTTATATGTATAAGATTTTTTTTTTTTTAAGAAAAATGAGAATATGAACTAAGATTTAAACCCTCTTTTTTTTCTCGCAAGGCTATGGGTAGTAAAAATTATGGACTTTGGTAAATAAGATAGAGAATTAAAATATATAGTGTCATATAATTTATTTACAAGGTATTAGAGGGAAGAGTTCAATAAATTTCATGTCGGCATTATTTACACATTTGTATCCAATTTGGATTTGCTTTGCAATGATGTAGTACGAAGTAAATGTTTTCGGCTTTGTAGATCAAAAGGGAAAGTGTTAATTACTTCGATTTTGCCTATATAATTGTGAATGATTTATGAGGCAATTAATAATCACCCTCTTTGAAAAAGTGGTTCTTTAAATTTGTTCATTAATTTAGCTATACTTTATTAGATTAACGAGCCGAGGTTTCGCGGAGGCGGAGGTTTTTGATTAGGGAGGTTTCACGCCTCCTCTTTTGCCAGCTTGGTTTCAACTTCAACGGGGGTTGAATTGAATTCTCTTTGTTCAAGAGCCGGAACGAGGGGTTATCTTGATTCATTAGAAATTGGACGGGTAAGAAAATTTCTTGCCTGGGGTATTCATTTGAACTCCAGATGTAAAACCAACTCAGATTCTTATCTATGCTAATACTTTTGTCACTCGAGGAAGGCGTGTAGCTATATGGTTCTTGGGGTTGTTCCTTTCGAATAAACGCCTCCTAAGAGAAAGACCTCTTATGGCTCTTCCTTGGTCCGGAGCTCTTTTTCGTTTCGTGGTTCGGCAAGCCGTGGTTACCGTTACCCAACTTAGTTCAATTGCTAAGCATTTATAAATCTAGGTAATTGATCTCAAACACACAAATGATGTTATTTGATTGCAAGCATCAATCTATAATCTATAATAGAGATGGAATAACAATTTTCATTTATGTGACATTCTTTTATCATTTTTCATTTTTTTTTTTTGGATTATTTGAATAATAAAAACGAGACAGAAAGATGACAATAAATTGGTCATGTACTCAATATATTCAACATGGTCCAATATAACAGTAACTTGCATTTCACTCCATCAAGGGATAATTAATATATGTGTGACATATTTTTGTTATCATGATTAATTGCACCCTTGAACTTAATTAATTATGCCCACCCTAAATTAAAATTTAATTGCTTGCGTAATGCAGTAACACTAATATTTTTTTTTTTGGTAGTACAAATAAATAGATTGTGATGCCAATCTGAACTAACCATCACGCTCACACGTCCCATATTGTGAATAAAAAAAAGTCAAAGAGGCCACAGTCAAAATGATTATGTTTGCGAGTCCTCTACTTTTGGCCCAAAGTCGGTTAGATTAACTGTAGTTTTGAAAGGCGTTGACCATTTCCATAACTCGGGTCGGGTTGTCAGTTTTTTTTACTACTAATCATAATTTGATTGTTTGGATTTATATCAGACTAGTAGTGGCTTGTGTGATGCACGGGATAACATATTTAAGTAGAATGTTTAACATCTTAAATACTAAAAATTAAAAAGAGTGTTGATACGTAGAACAATAATACATAGCTTGCCAACAATCTCAAAAACTATATTGAAAACAAACTTATATATAATATTTTTTGTTTGATTTGTTGGTGAACCATCGTTATAAAAAACTAATGGTAGTGTATTCGTTTGGGATTTCGAGTTACATTTTGAGATTTTTTAAAATTTTCAGATTTTGGAGGAACCTGTGAAATCTTAAATCTAGAGATGGAATTTCGTATATATTTTTTTCCTTATAAATCCCAAGAAATCTTAAAAAGTATTAACAAATCTTAGTCTCAAATAAGTTAAATAAATCAGGATTTTGTATGACTTTTGAAAGTCCTAACTGAATATCTCAAGACTTTTAAAAGTCTTAAAAAGTCTAAAGTAAATACACCAGGATTTCTGAAGTCTTTAAAAGTCGTTAGAAATTCTAAATAGATATATTTCCCTAGTATTTTCAACTCATTTCGGTTGGTGACACGTGATACTGCAACGTACAGTTAGGGAGGTTGTCCATAACTAAACACCAGCTTCTTCAGGAATAAACCAACATGCGATGAGATTTTCAAAATTTTATTTATGTGATGCGATTTATTCTTAAAATTCAATATATTTATCTCAAAAATGATATTTAGGTCATAAATTGTTGATAAGGTTTGCTTATAAAAAAAATATTAAAGAAAACATCTTATACAATTTTTAATGCTTCCAAATAAATATTGATACCTATTAATATGATCATTTAAGTTTTAAATTAACATGTACATTATTTTTGCATCAAATTTAATATTAATTTCTTTAACGTTGAGTTATTTTTATGAAATTCAAGATAGTTTATTTTGATGGTGGAATCGGCTCAAATTAATATATGTGTTGATAAGGTTTGTTTACAAACTATTTTAAAGAAACCAATCTTATACAACTTCTACATTTTTACTTTAACAGATACACGTCCATATGGAGAAAAAAAGTTAACAAATCATTGTAAAATTAGTAGAGCACAAATCTTTTCTAAATAGCTGCAAAATTCTATCGAGAAAAAAAGTTCACAAATCTTTGCAAAATTAGAGCACAAATCTTTTTTAAATAGCTGTGAAATTCTAGTACGTAAAATACTCGATAAAAAAAAGTTCACAAATCTTTGCAAAATTAGAGCACAAATCTTTTTTAAATAGCTGCAAAATTCTAGTACGTAAAATATGGAATGTTGTTGATTCCAAATAAAATACAAAAGTATTTTCAAAATAATTAATGGATTTTAAAAAATCCACGAATATTTGTAAATTTGGAACACGAATCTTTTTAAAATTGATCGACAGATTCAATATGTAAAATAGGGATGGATCTTTTAAAATTGATCTAAACATTAAAAGATGGATGTTATTTGGTTCTTTGTTAACCAAAATAAAATACAAAAATATTTTTGAAATAATTAAAATAGTGTTTTGAAGTCGGCTTGGAAAAAGAAAAAGGTGAATGGATATTTGAACAAAATAGAGCACGTTCCTTTAAAAAAAAAACTCTAAATATCTCATATAAAAAATATGAAATATTGTTGGGTACATATTAAACAAAACAAATCTACTAAACATATCTCATTAACTGTTTTTAAAATAATGAAAGAGGCTTTAGTAAATCGGTTTGCAAAAAATATGGACATGTTTTTCTTAAATGGCAAGTCAACAAATTTGACCCAAAAATTAAATTTTCCACAAATGAATTTTCCAACAACCTTTTTTTATATATATAGATTCAAAAATTTTATTATGTAAGCTTTTTAGTATATGTTTCGAGTTAGACAGTTTGTTTGGCTGTTGATTAGAGTTGGATTTATATAAGATTCAAAATTTTTATCGTGTAAGTTTTCTGATTATATGTTTTTAGTTTATAATTTATTTGACTACGGATCAGAGTTGAATAGCTGAATTTTTATAAGATTTGAAAATTCCATCTTGTAAGCTTTTGGAAGATACAATTCCACATTAAAAAAAAGAAGAGAGAGAGAGAAAAATAGATATTTGGTTCATAAAAAAAAAATTAATTTTAATGGACACGTGATACATATCTTTTTCATCCATAGAATATCGAAGAATTAATTATCAAAGTTTGATAAATTGGACCCGATTTTGCTTGTTTTATTACTGGCTTCAAATGTTCTAAATCAGCTTTAGAATTCGATTTAAAATTCGAGTTATAAACTTTTTATGTTATTTAGGATTTTAAATTTCGTAGGAAAAATGCCAATTTTATATACAACGAAAGACTACTTGTCAACCTTAAATTTTTATGGACAGGATTAAAAAAAACAATCCATACATGCATATACATCAAGATCCTATTAATTACCTCAATTGGATTAATATACTCAAATATTATATTTGGATCATCAAATTCACAATAATGAAAAAAAAAAGTGTGAAAACCAAAATTGGTATTGACAACGTAGTATAGAGAGAACTTTTTCCTGCAAATTTGTTGAGTGGTGGGTTCCATTATTTAGTATATATAGAGCCACTACAAATAATTGCTACATTAGCAGCAAACATTTAGCGACTGTTTTCAATAACTGCTGGTAAATGAATATATAGCAGCAGTTTCCTAGACCGCCACAAACATATGTCAGAAATTAATATATATATAAAAATATTTATTTAAATGACACCTGGTATTGTTTTTACCCGTTACTCGTTTATGTAAGTTTAATTAATTAAATAAATATAACAACTGAAATTATTAAAAAGAAAAGAAAAAGCTTCCATGAAAAATTATCTTCTCTACCACTAAGCACAAACATGAGAAACAACACTTCTCTAAAA